CCGCCGGGCCCTTTTTTTTGGTTTTTGGGGCCGGCGCCCCTTTAAGGGTCAGGGCCAGGGTTTTTTTCCGGGGTTTCGGTACCGGGTTTGGGGGTTTTGGGGGGTTTTTTCCGGGGGGTGTTTTGTGGGTTTAGAGCTTTTTTTTTGGGGGGGGGGGGGGGGGCAGCACCGCGGTGCTCGAGCTGGAAGTCGAAGGCGTGGGAGAGGAGGGGGGAGAGGGCGGCGGCGGCGTGGGCGGCCCGCGCGGAGCCGAGCAGCTGCAGGTACGGCCCCCTGCCTACTAAGAATTAAATTAAATTAAATTAAATTCTTAGATTAGTAGCTGCAGGTACGGCCCCCCTGCCTCGCAGCAGCGGCGCTGCTGCGGCGGCGAGGAGCTCGAGGTCGGGGGCATACCGGCCGGCGTCAGGCGCCGTGCCCTCGGCGAGAAGCGCGCGCAGCTCCGCCTCGACGGCGGCGGCGGCGAGGTGCAGCTCCTAGAGCCACGACACGGCGGCACATGAAGCGCGCTCTGCTGCCGGGCGGTGGTGCGGCGAGACAGGCGGCGAGGCGGGCGTGGGTGGCGAGACGGGCGGCGGGCGTGGTTGCTCGACGACACGCAAGGACCCCCGAGGTCTACCTTGCCTGCACCTGGGGCTCGATGCTCGGCTCCATCTCGGCTCCATCTCGGCTCCATCTCGCGCCTCGTAAGCGGCCCACTCCTCCGAGCCCGGCAAAGGAGGGAAGGGCTCCTCTGCGCCGGACGCCTCTGCGCCCTCCCCGCCCTCGCCCCCGCCCTCGGCCGGCGGCGGCGCGGCCGGCGGCGGCGGCGCCTCCGCGCCAACCGCCGCGAGAAGCTCGGCTGCTGTGGCAAACGCCTCTGCCGGCGAGGCGGGCGAGGAGCGGCGGTAGAGGCGAAGCCACTCGGCAAGCGTCGACGAGGGCAGTCGGCGGCCGTTGAGTCGGAGGTTGGAGAGCTCGTGCCGGCAGAGGCGGCCGTCGGCGGCGAGCGTGTAGGTGGAGATGCCGGAGAGCGCGGCGGCGGGGAGTGCGGCGGATATGCCGGTGGACGCGGGAGTGAGAGGGGCGCTCCATCGAACGGAGACGGCGTCGGGGCCGATCGAGTAGTCGCACTGCAACTCACCGGCACGCAGACCGGCGACGTCGAGGAGGGGCGACGTGTTGAGCGCCGCGACCGCCTTGGGGCGGGAGAGCGGGACGGTGAGTGGGTGGGCGGGCCGAGGGAGGGGAAGGTGGGCGCACACACCTCGAAAAGAGAGAGATAGGCCTCGCGGCCCCGGGCGAGGTCTACGCCTGCAGTTCGGTCGGACAGAGGGCTGAAGCGAGGTAGACGGGAGACGGGAGGCAGAGCGGGCGGATGCCGAGGTCAGACACGAGCGAAATGTCGTCGGAAAAGGCAACCTCCGGCGGTGAGCGCGTAAAAGCCGCCGGAGCGAAGCCGCGCAGCCGCCCGATATTGCGGTGAGCGGCTTGTGCCCTGGAAAATGCAGCGTCCGACAGGAAGGAAGTTGGTAGCGCAGCAGCAGAGCCCACGTCCGCGCGAGGAGAAATCAGAGCCAGCGAGACCCAGGCGAACAGCAGCATGGCCAGAGGGCCGACACGACAAAGAAAAAGCGGGACTGCGGACGAGTTCGCCCATCTCTGGGGTGGGTGTCAGAACAGTCGTCCTTGCGCGAGGAGAGCTCGATAAACTCGAGGGGCCAAAATACGCCGGAGGGCGGAGTTGCGCCGAGAGGCGGGAGAAGCCGCGAGAGCAAGGGATCGGAGGGCGGCGGCGGCGTCGCAGGACGAGGCAGAGCCAGAGGAGAGCGAAGGGACAGAGGATGAAGCGACAGGAGAGAGAACGATGAGAGTGGGGCAACCGCGGGCACGAAGGTTGCAGCGAGAATCGGCGAGCGACGGCTAGCAACACACTCCTCTCCTTAAAATCCCTGTGTGGTGGCGGCGTGCCGTCCTCCCATCCCTCCCCTGCATCTCTGTTTTCTTTCTTTCTTTTTCGCCCATCTCTCCTGGAGATGCCAGCTCTATTTATTTACTCCGAGCTGGTCTTGCGGGCAGCGACTGGAGGGCTGGCCTCCGAGGGCTGGTACAATAGCCGCAGGAATTGCGTCGGCCGCATTTCTGGCCGCATCAGGCTCATGCTAGCATCCACCTCGCGGGCCGATGTTCTGGCCATTTTCCGCCCTCGGAACGTTCGTAAGTCAATCGGCAGGAGGGAATGGAGCCCTCTCAGCACATTCAGCGCTTGCGGTTCCTCTCCGTCTCTCCGACGAGCTCCGCGGCGGGTCTATCCACCCATGGCCTCGAGCTGATACGCTCCTTTGACTCTCCCGCACCCGAGACCTTTGAGCGCCCGCACCTTGTCGGCGCATTGTCGGCCAGCACATCTCACTGCGCCACGCTCCAGCGGACCGAGGCATGCACTTTTCGCGCAGGAGTGCTTCGCAGACACGCGCTGATAGGAGCGGTCAACGCAACCGCCACCTTTGAAGGCGTCGTTGTGACGAGCCAAGGAGACGTCATTGGCACCCTCGCGGCTCACGCTCTCACCCACAAGGATGCGGTTCGGCTCTTTCCAAACACAGTCCCGTGCGACCCCGGCCCGCTCGTCCGCGGATGCGTCGAATTGACCACTTTGCTGTCAGTAGATTCACCGAGGCTGCCTGCACCGACCCTCCTGCCGTTTGCCCAAGCAGCGTGGAAAAAGTGGCCTCAAGTTTCTGGATCCAATGCAGTGGAGCGCCTCAACCTGTACGACGAGCTGCAGCACTTTGCCCCGCGACTGGCGGCCGCCTGCCCATGGAGCGCGCGGCAGGTGGAGGTAGATGACCTGGTCATACCTCAGGGAACTTTCGCCCTCAACCACTTTCACTTTTTGGCCGAACAGCTGCCCAACATCATACTGGCCGCCCACGCAACAGCTGGCTACGGGGATCGGCTCCTCCTATATGATCAGTCCTCAATCCAGCGCCTCGCCATTGCCGCGCTGCACCTCGAGGACCGCTCGATCGCGTTCGACCCTTGCTGCGTCTACCGCGCCGCCCGCCTCAAGCTTCTCGTCAGCACGGGCTTCCCGCTCCCCGCGAGCGCGGCGCACCTCAGCGTCCGCCGGCTCCTCCTTCCGTCGCGGCAAGTGCCAGTGCTCTCCTTTCGGAGGCCCGACGAGCCTTTGCGCTGCTTCGCGGCGGCGCCAGGCGGGGACTGTACATCGCTCGACCGGTTTGCCATCCTGCTGGACCGCTCAGACCGCAGTGCACAGGCCTCCTTTGCCAGCTCCCGCATCCTAGCAGACACAGAAACGCACGCAACTTCGATCGCGGCGTCGCTTCATCGCGAGGGAAAGTTGCAACTGCTGCTCTTGCGGGCCGCCCTGCTGCCGGCCGCGGAGCAGGTGTGGATCTTCTCGAAGGCGCACGTTCTGCTCGGGGCGCACGGCGCCGGACTCACGAACCTCGTCTTCATGTCCCGCCAGTCAGCCGTCCTCGAGCTGCTGCCAACCAGGGCACGCTTCAACAACCATATCGCGCCTTGCGTCGTGGGACGTTCGAGGGGCGAGATGAACGTGTGTGGCAAGTCGCAATGCGGGTTCAGCCACTTTTGGGCGCTTGCTGCGGAGGTGGGCGTGGCTCACTACGCGCTTCCCATCGCGGACGCCGCGTGGGGAGACCGAATCGCTGTGGGCCGCGAGGCTCTCGACGCCGCGGTAATTGGCATCGTGCGCTCGCACGGGGGCAGCGATTGGGTTATTTCTGATCCTGCTGATGAAGTGGAAATGCCTGCGGCGCGGGCTACGCCACTTCCGGCGCCGCCACCACCACCACCACCGTCCCCATTGCCGGCGCCAAAAGCAGCGTTCCGCGGTGACTACGGTGGTCTGGTCGCCGGCATAGCGAGCCAGCGGCTTGCGAGCCGCCTTGAGTCTCACGGATTTGGATGGCAGGACAGCATGGTGGCGGCGGCCCATGCGCTGTCTATGCTGCGTGCGGTTCAGGCGTGGCCCTCAACAGCACTCTCCGGCGCCCGCATGCTGGACGGGAATGCGAGGTGGAAGAACGTGGATCTGCGTGGTGATTTGATTGCATGGGTGCCACTCGAACCAAGCACGGGATTAGTGGCGCGGGTCGCGGCGCTTCATGCGACAATGGGCTGGGACAAGCTGCGCTTGGCGCTGCGACTTGTCGTTGAGGCGCTGAACGCGGCGGCAGGCTCTGGCGGCGAAGCGTTGAGGCTCCCCGACCGAATCATGCTCTCGCGCTATCCAGCTGGCGCACGCTACAGCCAACACTCGGATGTGTCGCCCGCTGCACCGAACCGGCGAGTGACAGCGATCCTCTACCTCAATAATGGTTGGGAGAGTGACCACGGAGGCGAGCTTGTCCTGCACCCTCCCGATGGCCCCCAGCATCGAATCGCGCCCCGACTCGGCCGCCTCCTCCTCTTCAATTCGACGTTAGGGCCGGGGAGCTAAGAAGCGCACCCAGCGGGGAGAATCGGTATCGGGCTACGGGCAAGAGAGCCCTGACCCTGGGCCCGTTCTTGTCAAAGAAAGATTCCAAATTCATCAGCTAAATCGATGTTGGAAGATGTTGGAGCGCTGCTTAGTCAAACCCTTCGCGGTTGTTTTTTTGACAAGAACGGGCCCTGGGGGGTGCTCGTGCGAGCGGGGACCACCCAAAGCGCCAAAACGTTGCGACCGCGGACCGGCTTTGATGTCGCGCTCGTTCACTTCAACCTTCAATGATCGATCGAGGTCGCAACAGCGCCAATGGCAAAGGAGATTGCTGCTTCTCCTCCTGCCTTGGCCTGGCTTTCGTCGGCACCAGCATCGCCCTGTTCACCCGATCTCACACGACGTTCACATCTCAAATGACGACGCTGCTGCAGCCGCTCCACATGGCGGTGGACAATCGGCACTGGAGCAGCAAACGGCTCGATCATCTCATTACGCACGAGTCACCCACCTCTGTCGCCGTGGCAGCGCTCGACGACGACTGGGTCGACGCCCCCGTCCCTTCCCCTGAGCCCTCGCCGGAGCTCTCAGGGGTAGTCGTGCGCATTGACACCGGCGAGGTGCTGGGGCGCGCAAACGGCGCCTGCAACTCTTTCTTTGGTGTGCCGTTTGCCGCAACACCGACGGGCTCGCTGCGCTTCCGGCCGCCCTCTGCGGCCGTTCCGTGGGCAGGTACGCTGGACGCGCGCGTGAGCGACATCAAAGGCTGTACGCAGCCCTCGCTGGACTTCTTGGAGGAGTTCTTCAAGCTGCCGGGGTGGGCAGACGGGTGGATCGAGGACACGGGCTTCGAGACCCAGTCGAGCGAGGACTGCCTTACCGTCTCGGTGCACACGCCCGACGTCAACGGCAGCGCGCCTGTGCTCGTGTTTCTGCACGGCGGCTCCAATCTCAACGGCAAGGCAGGCGACAAATGGCCTCAGCCCATCTGTGCGGGTGGCGCCGTCCTCGTCGAGGTCAACTATCGGCTCGGCGTCTTCGGCAACCTCGCGCTACCAGAGTTGCTGGCAGAGACTGGCACCGCCGGCAACCAGGGGCTGCAGGATCAGCGTGCTGCACTGGAGTGGGTGCAGCGCAACATACACGCGATGGGTGGCGACCGCACGCGCGTGAGCCTGATGGGCGAGTCCTCCGGCGCCATGGCGGTCGCCGCGCACCTCGCGCTGCCGCGCTCGTCTGGGCTGTTTGCGCAGGGAATCCTCATGTCTGGCAATGATTACTCGCTCACGCTGACCGAGGCGTTCGCTGCTGGGAACCAGTTTGCCGCCCTCTCTGGCTGCGGTAGCGCAGTCAACCGCTTGTCGTGCCTCCGGGGATTGGACCCTAAGATGCTGGTTAATACACAGACGCCCGTGTACAACCAAAGCATGCGCGCGCTGCAGACGCCGGTGGCCGACGGCTTCGAGCTTCCACCTGGCACCTCACTCGCGAGCCTGTACGCGTCCGGTCGCGTCCATCCCAAGCCGCTGCTGCTGGGCACGACCAAGGACGACATCTCAGTCTTCCTGAGACACTCGTGGAGGGAGGTGCTACCGCGGCTGCTCCAAGAGTCGTCCCTCACCAAGGACGACCTCGCGGGCTTCCTGGAGCGCTTCCTGCCGAGCGCGTCGCCCGAGGAGCGGGACGCCGTGTTGCGCGCCTACACACCCGCTCGGTTCGGGCCACCCGCAGTCAGGCACGCGCTTTACGAGCTCGGCACCGACGGTTACTACGCGTGCCCAACTCGGAGGATCGCCTCGGCTGTGGCGTCTCGCCTGCCGGGCAGCGTTTTCCGCTATGTTTTCGCGGCAGCGATCGTCGACATTGACACGCGCCGAATGCCTGACTGGGCTCGCACGCTCCTGTTTCCTCTGAGGGAACGGCTGGCGGACCCGTTGCTCGGCGCTTACCACGGCTCGGACTCTGAGTTGTTGTGGAGCGACCCGTACACGCTCCTCGACGCCGAGGAGAGCGCCCTTCGCCGCCGGATGCTGCAGCACTGGCTCAGCTTCGTCAAGACAGGCCGTCCGATGGAGAGTTGGCCTGCCTTTGGATCGACCGAGTCGTTCATCAAGCTCGACACGAGCGGCGACCGCGTCGGCGAGCATTGGCACCGCGCAAGCTGTGAGATCTTACAGCGCTTTCGCTTTGTATGGGACCCGGGATGATGGTCGATGCTTGAGATGGCAATGGCCGATGCGGATGGTTGTGGCACGCATCTGCGCCACTCGGTCTTCAGTCTGTTTACACATTGCAGTAACTTCTCGAGCGAGTCTGCGTGTCTCGTCGATGTATCGTACACGGTATCGGCACAGAGGTGTGTGTGCGGATGAGAGCGCGATGTATGTGACACCTTGTCGACACATGGTAGATGTGTTCGACACGGTTTTATGTCGTCGTGTGTGTGTGTATGGCTCATGTGGATGTGCAGTGCTTTTTCTGCTCTTACATGTATACTTCGAGAGACAACACGCACAACCGCCGATCCCGCACCCTCACACAAGTGTAACCCACCCACGTAATACCGTATTATATGCGAAGTATGCCGCGCTGCCTGCCGCCTTGGGGGGGGGCGACCCTCTCCTACCCAAAGCAGCCAGCCGCGGCGAGTGGGCGGAACTCGTACGACCGCACACGTTCATCCTCGCGCACGGGCCGTGAGAGGTCGATCCGCCACAGGAGCAGACCGCTCTAAAAGGAGCTCACGGCGGGGCGTTGTGGGCACCGGCGAGCAGGTCGGTGGCGCTGCTGATCCGCACCGTCGAGCGCGGCGCGTCCGAAGTGAGCGGCGGGACGTCGAGGCCGTCCTTATTCCCGTGGCTGCACATCACGATGGAGCGGAGCTCGCAGTTGCCGGCGAGGCGCTGCAGCGAGTCCTGGTCGTCCTTGTGAAGATTCCCGCCGAACTGCGTAAAGATGTGGCGCAGGAAGGACGAGTGCGTCACGACGGCGATGCACTTCTCGGGTCGCTTGTTGAGCCACTGCAGGAACGCGATGCCGCGCTCGCAGCAGTGCTCGTCGCTCTCGCGCGCGTCCTCCGTGTAGAAGTGGTCGTCGTCATACGGCACCTCGGACCAGTCAAAGGACGGGAACTCGGGCATGATTTTCGAGACCGGGCGCCTGCCGTCGCACACGTACTGGCCCCACCGCTCGCGGCACTCCTCGCGCACGAGGATGCGCGGCGCCGGCACCTTCTCGCCGCGGAGCTTCTCCTCGGACCCGTCGGGTGCGTCGAGCGTTGAGAGGAAGCCGGGCTTGCCCGGCTGCCGGCCCGGCCCGAAGATATGGAAGGCGGTCTCGCACGTCCTCGTCAGCGGAGACACCACCACCAGGTCGAAGGCGGTGAAGGAGCGGCCGCCGCTTGGGCGGCTCGCGAGGTGCTGCTTGAGCTTCTGCGCCTGTTAGGGTGAGGGCGGCGTCGGATTTGTGGCGGCGCGGAGCGAGCGGCGACGGTGTGCCTGCTGCACTCCGACGTCAGTGAGGCGGGCGTCCCACAGCGGGTGGTCCCTCGCAGGATTGTCACCGCGAGTGAGCACGTCATTCGAGCCGCTGCTCGCCGTCGCCGCGTTGTGCTCGCCCTCGGCGTGGCGAATAAAGTGAACCTTTTTGGTGCGCTCGGCGAGGAACAGCGAAAACCCAGAGTCCGGCGGGCCGAGGGAGTACTCGAAGTTGTCGCCAATCATGCAGCGAGAGGAGCCACCCGGGATGAAAGGTGCGAGTGCGAGGCTGCTACAAACTTCGCCCGCCCGTGCGTTTTCTTTTTTCTTTCGTTCTTTCTGGAACTTTGTCTTATACGAGAGATCGGGACCCTGTCGTGTGGGTGAACCCTGCCCTTTGCTAAGGTATTGAAAATCTATCTCGACATGACATGTGCGCATGCACACATGTACATGTGCATGTGCATGCACATGTGACATGAACTCAAGTGTACATTTTCAAGCAACCACGAAAACCCGCCGACCGGCTCCCGCCTCGGCTCACGAAAGCACGCTCTTGGCAAAAGCCTTCAGCCCGGTGACCTTTGCATTCACGTTGAAGGGCCCCGGGCCCGAGGCGAACGCTACTTTGCTCGTCGCCACCTGACGGGGAGAAGGAGTTTCTGCACCATGGACGGGATGGAGGTGGCTGGGGCAAGTGGGGTTCGGGCAAGCGGGAGCAGACCTCGATGACGTAGGCTCTGAACGGCCGCGCCTCGTAGGCGCGCTCGAGCTCGTTCGACATGCTGTCGAGAATCATGGCCACCTCGCCGCCCACCTGCGTGGCGTGGCGCGCTGAGACTTGGGGCAGGGTGCGCTGCGCGGTGTGCCAGGGAAGGGACAGCCTTCGCTTCGAGCAACGCCTTTGCCAGCCCCGCGGCGTGCGCCCGCTCCTCTTCCGAGGAGTGCACCTTGATCTCCTCCTTGATTTGCACAGGCGGCGGCAATGGCGGCGTGTCAAACTCGCCCACGGCATGCGCCTCCAGGACGTACACGTGCAGCACGGGGAGCCCGTAAGCCGCATTCGTCAGATCGACACCTGGGGGTCGGGATTCCGTTTAAGCCAGAGCGGAGTGAATGCTGCTGCCCTACGTGTCTGGGAAGTCGCCGGCTCACCCGCAAACGTGCGCCAGATGGGGCAGGTGAGGGAATCAAAGAGGACAGCGACGTGCGCCGCCCCGTTTGCTGCACCGAGCGCCTTGACCTCGGCCAGCAGGGACGTAGGCTTCCCCGCGAGCGTGAGAGCAGGCCCATCCGGGGCGACGCTCCCGTTGGCTGGAGCTTTGGATGTGAAGCTTTTGAGGTTATATGGCCGCATCTTCTGGTAGAGTCGCCAGTCTTTGCCCTCGACATCCTTCCATGCCTTCTCCTCCATCTCGGCGACTTCCGGCTGCGTGCAGTCCTTGGCCGGGTCACCGCCCGCGGTGAACGCCATCATCCTTCGAAACATGGGCGTCATTATTGTGCTCATAACGGGAAGCTTCATCGGCGACTCGCGCTCGTTGATGTAGATGTAGAGCACGGCTGCTGCACCAGCGCCGACGACGAGAGCCCGGATCATGCTTGAGGGCGGTGGCGAGGGATTTCCCCGCTAGCGACGGCAAAAGAAAAAGGGCCACGAGAGATAGGGGAGACAGGGTCCACACCTGACGGCTAACACCACACTTCTCCCCTAAAATCCCTGTGTGGTGGCGGCGTACCGTCCTCCCATCCCTCCCTTGGGGTGTCTTTTTTCTTTCTTTCTTTTTTCCACACCTGCACGAACAGGATTTTGGAAGGACGATCAGGGGCACAGGTGGGGCTCTCCTGCTCCTGACAAGGGACACGACAGGCTCGCAGCGCGGTGCACGGTGGAATCCCAACTCCACTGGCGGTCTCATCTCAGTCTGGCGACCTTCCTCCGGCTTCTCACCGGCAGTCTCTCACTACCACGGGCACACTGACACAGGGGTGGCAGGGGCGGCGGCATGAGTCTCCCACATACTATGCGGGCCTCGCTAGAGGTGCGTCCTGTGTGTGTCCTCGTCCTTGAGGTCTTGAGGGGGAAGGGGAAGGGGCTGTGTGTCTGTGCATGCATGCATGCATGTGTGTGTGTGTGTGTGTGTGTGTGTGTGTGTGTGTGTGTGTGTGTGTGTGTGTGTGTGTGTGTGTGTGTGTGTGTGTGTGTGTGTGTGTGTGTGTGTGTGTGTGTGTGTGTGTGTGTGCGAGCCGCCCTGAACGCCACGAGCGCGCCGCGAGCGCCGTAGCGCCGGCGAGCGCCGTCGGCAGCGCGCGACCGCCACCCAAAAGTGGAGGTACATCAGGAGCCGCAGCCGGCCTGCTCTATCAACCGACAGCGAGGCTCGCAAATTAAGGTGCACTCTCTTTTTTCTCAGTCCGCCCGGCTCCAAGTGCGGAGCGTCTACGCCTAGAAGACGAGGCGCGCAAGCAAGCACAAGCCGGGGCGCAACAGCAGCAGCAGCAGCAGCAGCAGCCCGTTGTAACAAAGCCTCTGCGCCCGCGCCGCAGAGCGGCCCGCAGCCCCGAGCGCCGAGAGCGAAGCGCGAAGGCCGAGCACCGGACCCCGATCCGGCCCGCCTGGTGGCGGTTCGCGTGTCGGTCCCGCCTACGTACCGCGTGTCCGGGGCCCTCATGAGGTGAGCTCAGCGTAGCTCGATTATCCCACACTCATTTATTTTTTATTTATGTATATGCTATATAGCGGCCATCTTCCTGCATCTGCACATGTACATGTACAGTCTGTTGCGGGCATTCAGAAAGCGTCCCATGAAGAAACCCTACCAAGCAATTTCCGCGAAAATCTAAGAAACCACGGCGCGCCGCAGGCGCGGCCCCAAGAAAGGGCCCACACACGAGTGTGAACAGGAGCCCCGCTCAAATTTTCTCTTCGCCTGCGGCGCGCGCACTTGTCATTTTGCCCAAGTCTGCGGTGTTCTGGGCGGTGTGGATGGAGGTGTGTGCGTCTTCCTGTCATCCCAAGACTGCTGACTGGCGCATCGGTCCAGCGCTTCCTTATTGTCATTTTACCTAAAAGTTCCTAGATCCCGGCTGACCTGGGGTGCCGGCCGAAGCTAAGAAACCACGGCGTGGGGTGGGTGGGGTGGGTGGAAAGGCTTAGAAACGGCGGCGTGCCGCGGGATCCTGTTTTCTTAATGCCCGCAACAGACTGTACATGTTGACTATCACCTCTTAAATATAATAACAACGTACTCGACTCTCCAGCACTCCGGCGGCTCAAGCGGGAGGGAGCGGAGACAGTGGGCAGCGCGCGAAGCGGGTGAGACTGATAATGCTCCTTCGACTTAGGGAGCGGTTCAGCTGCTGGGCGGGCTTCAGGGTGGTGCTCACGCGAAAAGGAATCGACGCGATGCACAAAGCATACAAGAAGAGGAGAAAGAAGAGGACGGACACCGGTGATGACAAAACAGAAACTAGCGCAGACGAGAGCAGGGCAGACCCGGGGACGGGGGAGCCGGAGCAGATGGCATCGGCCGCCGAGGGAAGGTTGGGAAGAGGCACGAGGAGGGCGGCGACCTCAACCGACTAATGGAGGACCCGCCGTCGCCAGACGAGACGCAGGGCAGACGACGGGGAGGCGGAGCAAACGCGCAGGGCGAGACGAGGGAGGGAGCAGGACTTTGCGGAGATTAGCAGGAGGATGTACGAAGAGATTAGGAGCAGCAGGAACCCGACGGGGACCATGTGGAAGACGGCTAGTGCTAGCTGCTACCACCCTACCAGAGAGTCTCCCCCAAGCCCCATATCGCGCATCGGGGGGACACGACCCCGGCTAGTCGCCGCCGACCACACCCACAAAGAACCCTGCACAAAGATCGCAAGGGCGGGGTCCTGTTCCTTTTTACCCCCATCTCACAGTAGAGGTGTCCGTTTTTATTTATTTATTTCCAGCACTCCGGACGTCGACTCAGTTCTTGGCCAAAGTACAGGTTTCGATCCGGGCCACCGCAAATTTTGATCAGCAAATTTCGAGGGGCGGCCGCAAATTTTGAGGTAGATTTTGATTGTCAAAACGTGTCCGTCTTGGCACAGGATAGAGCATATAGGCGGCGAACACCCAGGTGCGCAGGGACATCGCGACTCTGCCCGCTCGCTCGACCCTTTTGCCGCGAGAGGGCGCCGGCCGCGTGTAAGAGGTGGCTGGCGCCCTGAGGCGGCAATTGGTGGCGTGGGGAGTTTTGCGGAGAACGCTACTGGCGGCGCGACAGGGCCTCTCTCGATTGCGTGTGCCGCCCATCGGCACGCGGGTGCGCAGACATCGCGACTCTGCCCGCGCTCGCTCGACCCTTTTGCCGCGAGAGGGCGCCGGCCGCGTGTAAGAGGTGGCTGGCGCCCTGAGGCGGCAATTGGTGGCGTGCGGAGTTTTCGGAGAACGCTACTGGCGGCGCGACAGGGCCTCTCTCCGCTGCGTGTGCCGCCCCATCAGCACGCGGGTGCGCAGACATCGCGACTCTGCCCGCTCGCTCGACCCTTTTGCCGCGAGAGGGCGCCGGCCGCGTGTATGAGGTGGCTGGCGGCCTGGCGCCCTGAGGCGGCATTTGGTGGGGTCAGCGTGCGGTGCTGAGTCTTACTCGTCCGCGCTGGGGCCAGATCCCAGCGCAGAACTCTGCAACGCTGGCATACAAACACAAGAACACTAACCCTAACCCTAACCCTAACCCTAACCCTAACCCTAACGCTAAGCCCTAACCTCTAACCCTAATAACCCTAACCTAACCCACCCCCCAACTCCACACCGCAAATGTGAAAGATCTTGATGAAAATCAGGCCCGACTGCAAATTTCTTCAAAATTTTCGCAGGCGCTCCGCGCCTGTAAATTTTGAAATAAATTCGACAAAATTGGTACCTGGCCCAACTCAGTTCAGATCATTTGCGGGGCCGCTGGCGCCGGTGCAAGGCCTCCGCCCGCTGCTCCTCCGCCAAGGCTAGCGCGCTCGCCAAGTCCATCCCCTCCTCCTCCTCCTCCGACCCGCTCTCCCCACCACGCCCAGCCACGACCACCGCGTCCCGCTCCTCCGGCCTCCGCCCCAGCTCCTCAATCTCGTCAAAGGAGCGGAGGAAGAAGAGCGTGTGGAACTGTACGGAGCCCGGCCCGAGCCGCTGCAGCAGACGCGGCGCCTACCGACGGCTCCAGCGGAACTGTGCGGGAGAGGAGCATGAGGCCGTGGCTGTGAGAGGCGCCACGCCTCCGCCGCCGCCTCCCCTGGCGGCGAAGACTGCGCGACCGGCGACCAGACCTTGCCCACGTACTGCACCGCCCCCGCCACACCCTGCGCGCTCACGCGCACGCGCTTTCGAGCCCCCCCCCCTCCCTCCCCCGCCTCGGTCGGCGCAGCCTCGGGCAGCGCCGCCAGCTCCGCCATCCAGCCCGGCACGCTCCGCCAGCGCGCGTCGCGGCGGGCCGCCTATGCAGCGGCTCTCAAGCGTGGGGAGGCACGCCTCGCGCACTGCCGCCGCCGGGGGGGCTCGACTCGCCGGGCAGGTGGCGCCGGCGCAAGCCGCCGGGGCCGGCAGGCGCATGCACGGGAAGAGCGGGGCCGGCGGCCTTCGGTGGCGGGCGGGGAGGAGGAGGCGAGGTGGCGTGGGAGGGCAGTGACTCGCCCACCACCCAAACATGAGCGTCAGCCGGCCTCCCTCCTCCTCGCCCTCCTCCTCGCCCTCCTCCTCTCGCTCGCCCTCGCCCTCGCCGCGAGCGAGGCTCTCCGGCAGCACGCCTGCCACAGCAACCATCTCGAGGCTGAGGCGGCGGGCACGAGGACGGGCGGGGCCCTTCGTGCGCCGTGCAGCACGTCGCCCCGGAAGAGGAGGAGCCGCCCCTCCTTGGGCCGGACGAGGAAGGCGCTCGCCTGGAGACGCACACGTGCGCCGCGTCACCCACGCGCTGGACGGCGCGCGGCCAGCCTGGGGCCGGGAGTGGGTCGCCTCTGCCGCCGCGTCGCCCGACCCGGAGGCGAGCGTCTGCGTGGTGACCATGGTTGGCGCCGCCTTCCTCCCGCCGAGGTAGAGCACCGACGAGACGAGGGGGTGGCGCGTGCCGCCGCCCGAGAGGAGCGTCGCCTCGTCGAGGTCAAAGTGCAGCTGGTGGAGCGCGCGGCGGCTGCTCCGCGTGTGAGCCCACCACTCAACCGTCCTCAGGCGAGGCGCCGCCGAGCCGCCGCCGCCGCCGCCTCCCGGGTACAAGTCGGCGGCGTGCCTATCCTCGGGTTGTGACGAGGTCCCGAGGCCTGATGGGGCGGCTCTCCCTCTTTGAGAGCGCGAGGCGACCGCTCCATCAGCGGCTGCAGCAGGCGGGCAGCCTGCTCGACGAGGAGGAGCGGTGGTTTGGAGGCCGTGAGGTCGTGCCGGTACGAGAAGAAGCACGGCGTGGGATAGCCGTGCTCCTCCCAGAAGGCAGCTCCCGGTCGCAGCGCTCGCTGCAGCCCCGCGATCACGGCTGGCGGAAGCACGCCGTCGAGCACTATTGGAGCACCACAGAGGCCAGCAGGGCTAGGCGTCGCCGTCGATGGCGGCGCGAAAATGGAGACCGAAAGCCGGTGGCGCATACCCAACGCCCGCAGAAGCCTATCTGCTTCAGAGCCGCGCCCTTGCCGCGAGCAGAGCAGCGCGAGGTCGTGCTGTGCAGTGGCGCCGGCTGCAACCCGTCCCGCAGCCTGCTTGAGCTTGGCGCTCGTCGAGCTGGTGTCGAGGCGAGCAGCCGCACGGGCGCCGGCGGCGATGACGCGACGCAGGCGTGCTTCTTCCGCCTCTGCCATTTGTCAGGCCAGGGCGACGGAGGTAGCAGCGAGGTGGCAGCGAGCAAGCGGCTGCCGGCTCGCCAAGCCGCACGCAGCCCCGGGCCGCAAAAAGAATTTTTAACCACAAACGGGACTGGCGCGCACTGAGAATTGCGGCGTGCACCAAAAAACGCCCCCTCCGTGTCGCGATGCTCTCCCCGCTCCCGTTCCCCTGTGTCCCTGATCGTCCTTACTCAAGATCTTACTTGCAGGTGGGGACCCTGTCCTTCTCCCACCCCTCGTCTGGCGTGTCTGTTTTATTTAGTAAAAGAAAGAAAGAATTCTTAAAATACAAGCCAAAGAAAGAAAACAGCGAACCCAAGGGAGGGATGGGGAGGACGGCACGCCGCCACCACACAGGTCACACGGGGAGTTTAAGGAGAGAGGAGTGTGGTGCTAGCCGTCGCCCACCCTCGGGCGTCTACCTCTTAAAACGGACGCCTTCATGCGCACCCCCAAAAGAAAGAAAACGGACAACCCAAGGGGGGGGAAGGACGGCACGCCGCCACCACACAGGGATTTTAAGGAGAGGGGTGTGGTGCGCTAGCCGTCGCCCACCCTTGGGCGTCCGCCTCTTCCTATCTCTCTTCGCAGTCTCTCGCCGATTCTCGCCAACCTTCATGCCACCTCGCGGTCGCCCCCCTCTCGTCGTGCTCTCCCTTGTCGCTTCTTCCTCTGTCGCGTCGCTCTCCTCTGCCTCGTTCTGCGACGCCGATGCGCGCCCCCTCGCAGCTTCTTTCCCGCGGAAAAATTCTTTCCCCCCCCCGGCGTGACGAACCTGACCCTTGTCGCTGAAGCTGTCGCTGAAGCCCGGCGTAAAGCCAGCGCCTCTGCCCACTGCGGCCGTCGCCGTCGGCTCCTGCACGCAGCCCGCCGCTGAGCTCCGCCAGCGCCTGCCGCGATGGCGACCCCACCCACGATCAACCAGGCTACCAACCCCGGCGGCTCGAACGCAGCCGACATTGACCCTCCGATGCCTCCCGCGGCGTGGGTCAACTTCGTCGGAGGGGGCGCGAGCGGGGCAGTGCCCAACTTGGTGGACCCAGCGACGGGGCTACCCATCTCCAACATCCCTCAGCCCCCAACCCAACTCGCTTTCCTGGGAGGAAGCAACATTGGTGCCATCGCTCCCAATGCGAAGCCCGTGAAGGCCAGACCAGCGCCGACGCCGGTGCCGGGCATCCAGCAGTCGCTCCAGGCGGCGAACGATCCGGGCTACAACGCGTACAGCACCCTCAACCCATTCGTGCAGGGCGGAGGCATCTCCACTATGGTGCGCTCCAGCGCTCGCTGCCGCCACCTGCCACCGCCGCCACCCGCCACCGCCGCCGCCGCCGCCGCCGCCTCCTCCTGCTCCGCCACCGCGCTCGTCGCCACCGTCATCGCCGTCCCCACTATCCCTGCCGCCGCCGCTGCTCTGTTTCTCCGCCGCCGCCCTCACCGCCTCCGCCGGCACAGCAGCAGCCGCTGCCGCCGCAGCACCCGCCGCCGTAGCTCCTGCCGTTTTGCCGCTCCTTCGCTGCGGCCGCCGACTCCCCCACCCCTCCCTTCGCAGGCGTACCCACCCACCGGTGAGTCGACCTACGGCCTCATGTTTCAGACAAACGGCGCGCGGCCACCGCCGCCCTCGCAGCAGCCACTCACCGACGCAACGCCCACCGCCGCCAGCCGCCGCCAGCCGTCGCCCCGTCTCCACCGTCGCCGCTGCCGCTGCACACCGCCGCGCGCGCCGCTGCTGCTGCACTCCGCCCTCGCTTTGATCACGAACCAGCCCACCTCCCTCTCCCCCACCCCCACCTCTCACCTCGCCCACCTCCCTCTCCCCCACCTCCCTCTCCCCCACCCCCCTCTCCCACACCTAGGGGAGCCGCTGCCTCTCTACCCGGCGCCTCGCCCCACCGAGATCCTGCCGACGCGCCTCATCTTCCCGGGGGCTCTCGCTCCAGCCCAGGTCTGCGCACCCGCGCACAACGACCCCTCGCACTCCGCATGCCGCACCCGGGCCCCTTCCTCTCAAGGGCGGGGAGATGCGACGGAGTGCACAGCCCTCTGCCCGACTCCATGTGTGGGTGTGTGTGTGCTCAGCCCCCTGCTCACCCTCCCCTTCTCTCCCCTCAGTCACGGCTCATCCCTGTGCCCGGCAACGCCGTCATCGAGCAGGCCAACCGCGCTTGGTGCGAAGCCCCAGTTCCCTGCCCCCCGCCCCCACCGGTCCGTGTCCCCAGTCCTCCTCCCCCCCTCCGCCCCCCGCTGGCACCCGCCCCCCCCCCCCCCTCCAACCCCCCACCAACCCCAAAGGTACAACACCATCCCAAAGCCAGATCCGCTCGGTGTCTTCGGGGTCGCACCTGTCTCGGGAGTCGGTGGCCCTCTCGTCTCGGAAGCAACCGCGCTGCTCCCCAATGACCCGCTGACCGCGCCCGGCCCGAACGGCGCGATGCCCGACTTGGCGCTCCAGAAGTTCGCGCCGCAGTACCAGCCGTACGTGCAGTGGACCATCCAGAACGTGATGTGGCTCGGCGTCTGGGTCAACATCTCCGCCTACTTCGAAAAGGTTCGCCGCCGCCGCCCCCGGCCTCACTCTTTCTTTCTATCTCCCTCTCCCTCTCCCTCACTCTCTCTCCCCCTCCCTCCAGGCGGCCTCGATCCAGCTCTTCGGCTCCGTCGAGCTCGGCACCGACGACGCCCTCGCCTACTCCACCATCGAGGGGACGGCCGGCTACCTCGACCGCGAGCAAAACTCCCCCTTCCCGACCCAGGCGCGTGGCGGCACGGGGGGCCACGGGCGGCGGGGCCCACGGGCGGGGGGGAGGGAGGGAGGAGGGGACTCACCAGACGAGTGCTGCCGCGGGTAGGTCGACGGCGGAGGCTGGTTCGGCTGGATGGGCTGCCGCTCCACGTGGGCCTGCACGCAGCAGTGCTGGTGTGCGCCGGCGCTGCCCGCTGCGCACGCGGGAGAGGCGCGTGGCTGAGACGCGGCGCGGCGTGGTCTGCTGCGTAGGTACATCGGCTTGCTGTGCGGGCTCGAGAAGTATGGCGTCGCGATCGTCGCCGTGCTGCTGCTGCTCTTCGAGCTCGTGCTGATGGAGGGGATCATCGTCACCGACTTCATCGCCGTCGTGCCGCGCACCGCGACCTGGCTCGACTTCTTCACGGCGGACGTGCCCGTCACGCCCCGCGTCGCCACCGCCCTCGTCTACCTCGTCTTCTGGCTCCTCCTGCTCGGCTTCTGCTTCCACAAGCTGTCGGAGCAGTCCTACTTCCGCCAACTGGGCGGCGGCCGCATCTTGCTGCGCTCGCTCGCGGCCAACTACGAGGCGCAGAGCTACTCGTACTGCAACATGATCTTTTGGACCATCCTGTTTGAGTTTGACACGGTCATCATCCCGGCGTACTTCCCCTTCGTCCTCGCGCTGCTCGTGATGGAGACGTACGAGGGCAACATCCGCGAGGCGGCCGTGCTGCTGCTCATCTTTTACCTCGTCTCGCGCCTCCACTCGATGGCTGTCTACATCGTCGAGCTGCTCGCCTGCATACCCGAGTGGCTCATCCAGCCCGAGGACGGGGCCGACGGCTTCTCGGCCAGTGCGACTCGCCCACCCCCTTGCCCCTCCGACCGCTTCCGAGACACCTCCCGCCTGCTGCCGCTGGCTCCGCCCCTCACCGCCTCCGCCCCCTCCGCTCCCACGCATCTCCCCACGCCTCTCGCCTCCCGCGCCCGCCGCCAGGCGGGCCGGGCGCCAACGCGTACGTGCGCGGCTCGCGGGTGGACGTGGAGCTCAACACGCTCAACTACATCTACCTGTGGACGACGGGGATCGGCTTCTTCCTCCTGCTCATCTTGATGAAGCTGCAGATGACGATGCTCTACCTCTGGTTCGTGCCCGCCATCATCATCTGGTACTGCATCGCGTGGCAGTCCATCCCGTACTGCCTCAACGGCTGGCCGAGCTGCCCCACGCACACGGGTCCGTGCGTCTCCCTCACCGCCATCGGCACCGTCATCGTCTTCGTCTCCCTCTTCCTCTTCCACCACGCGTGCTTCCTCTTCCCCTGCCTCTGCGCTCCGGAGGCGCGCGCCGCCACCGCCCGCCCCTCCGCGCACGCAGCAGAGGCGTTGTGCCTCGCCCACGCTTCAATCTGCCGTCCGCGCCGCGATCCGGTCACGACCCCCCCCCCCCCCCCCTCTCCAGGTACCGGGCTACCTCTTCTTCCCGCCGAGCGGCGCGATCGACTCTCCACTCACCGGCAAGTTCGACGTCTCGCACGGCCTCTTCCTGCGCCGCCTCTTCGGCGGCGGCGACACGTGGGACTGCGCTTGGGAGCCGCCCTCGTTGGACGCCGCGGAGGAGGCCGAGGCGCGCCGCCGCCACCCCCCCCCCCCCCCCTCCCCTCCTCTCCCTCTCCCTCTGCGACTCCCGCGCGGATTACGGCTGATGGTGCCGCGGCGGCTGCAGGCGGCGGGACGGCTGCTGCACGAGTCGGTCGCTCTCTCCCCCGTCCTCGCCTTCTTCAGCAACGCCTTGAGCTGAGGAGTCGGCGGCTCGCGCCGAGAAGAGCGAGGAGCACCCCCTCCTCCTCCACCCCTTTGCCTTCAAACTACCTGCCGCTCGCCCGTCTATACACACTGCTACCTCGACGCAAGCTCACGTACCCTCTCCCTGTCGCCCGTATCTCCGTCATGGCATGCGTACTCCGGCATGAGCCCATGCAGTGCAACGCATGAAGGCATGATCGCGCCGCCGCGCGGATCGACCGCGCGGAGTTGAACTCGCGCGGCGGGTGGTGTCCCTCGCATGCAGTGTTCTCATCGCGCCATCTCTCTCGCATGTCGTTGGTCTCCCGCGAGCGGCCGAGGTGTTGATACCATTGTTTTATATTACGTCACCGCAAAACACAAAAATCGCGCGCGCCGCTCAAGCGTATTGCACCACCTTTTAAGTTTTATTTTACCCATCTCGCAGTAGAGGAGCACTTGGAGGTGTCCGTTTTTATTTATTTACACCACCTCGTCGGGCGCGAACTCCCGGTCCCGCTGGAGATAATCCTTCAGAACATCCCGCGCCGCGACCACCTCCTGCATCCGCTTGGTCGCGTCCGCCGCGTCGCAGCGATCCGGATGCAGCTTCCTGGCCTGGTCCTTGTACGCTCGGTCCACCTGCGCCTCGCTCAGAGCGGTGGGCGGCGGGGGTAGCCCCAGCACATCGCGGGCCGAGGCCAGCGCCTCCTCGGCATGCTCCTCTGCGGCGTCATTCGCCGCGCGCTGCTGGTGGGAGCTGCGGTACTCATGAAACGCGCCTTCGGCGCTCCACTCGTACCGGTCGCGAGGATGGGCATGGCTGGCAGCGCCCGCAGCAGCCGCACCCTGCCCGCCCGCCCCGCCCTGTCCCTCCGGCCATAGCGTGGTGGCGAGGGCGTCGCGAAGAGAGAAGCCCTCCGGCTTGGGCTGCGGCGTGGCATCGCGCAGGAAAATCAGGGTCTGCTCGGCGCGCGTGTACGCCACGTATTGCACGTTGAGCTCCTGCCGCGCCTGCCAGCCGCCCTGCTTGAGCACAAATTCAAACGGGATCCTATCGCATGCGTCGCGAACACGGTCAGGGAGGGTGCTGGCGGAGCCTGTGGAGTTCTGCTATCGGGCATGGATCGGGCGTGCTCGGCTCACTCGGACGGCTCGAGCAAGTAGACGACGGGCCAGCCAAGGCCCTTTGCCTTGTGCACAGTCGCGAGCTCCACCGGAGGCCGCACCTGCGCTCACGGGTCAGGCCGTGCGATGCGTGCGTGTGCGGCCGCGGTGGGCGCTCCAAACGCGCAAACTAGATTAGGCTCGCGCGCTCGGTCTCGCAGCACGCCTGCTGACTCGGCAGGACGTACTCGCCGCCTGCGGCCCCAAAGTTGAGGTGCACCGCCTCGCGCAACGCCTTGAGCCTCGCCGCCTTGTCGGCGTGGCTGCTGTCCTCCCGCACGCGGCCGATGAGCAGCCTGATGCACTCGGCAAGGTCGCTCAGAGCGTACTCGACGCCGCGACCCTCCTCCGCAGCCACCTGCAGCCACCGGTCAGAGATCTCGCACGCTACCTCGTCCTGCCATGGACCTCGGCCGTCCCTCGGTTATCTCTAAGCCATGTCTCTCAGACCATGTCTTGGCTACGTCTCGCCTCCTCTTCGCGCCGCACGTGGCTGTGCAGCGCCGACTCGACCTCGTCCAAGCTCTCCATCTGGTCGATGCCGCGCCTAGCTCATGAGCTTCATTCGTTAATCTTGGCCAGTGAGTTTCGCCCTCTCCGCCCGCCCGGTCGATCGATGGCGCCCGTCGTAGGAAAGCCGAGAGCAGCCCCTCGATTTTGGCAGCGAGAGGCGTTCGGCCGAGCATGCGGCTCGCGACGCCCCTCGCAGTGAGCAGGAATAGCAGCGCAAGTAGAGGCGCGTTGCGGCGGGCGAGGATCGCCCGCTCCGCCCGCAGCGACACGCCGCCCGCCGCGCCGCCGCCAGCCACGTCGCCGTTGCCGGCGGCGGCCAGTGCCGTACTGGCGAAAGTGTAGTCTCCCGGCAGCGGGTGGCTGGCGAAAGTGCATCCGTCCTCTCCTGCGCGGTCCTTCCTACAGATCTCGCCGCGCCCCTTGCCGCGCATCGGCCGCATCTTCTCGCCCGTGCCTAGAGCGAGTGGCGTGGCTCACTTAATCGTGAGCCGCACATTTACCGCATGTCCTCGCCCGCGCCGTTGGTGGCGTTGTCGATGACGGTGTTGGCGAGCTCGATGTGGCTTTCCGGGCAGCGGCGGCAGACGGGGAGGCTGTACACCTCGCAGTCAAAAGTCTCGAAGAGCGTCTCGAGCGCGTCTTCCATCGCAAAGGCCCACCCGTACAACGCCTGCATGAATAATCAAATTAGAGATCAGTGGCGCCTGAAGGATGAATCTACTCCGTAGTACAATCCTGCATGTCGTCCCCGACGACGAAGATGCGGCATCCCGATTCGGCCGCTAGCCGCTGCAACATCAGCTGCCGGATGCGGGAGGGTGCAGTATTTTTTTGTGCGCGTGGGCGGCCGCGGGCGGCCCCCCTCGGTGCCGAATGGCCACTTTTTTGAGAAATAACTCGCCCGGTCGAGCTCCCCTCGCGCAAGGACCACATTTCTGACTCCCACTCCGATCATTTGCCTCCAAGTCATGTCGTTGCTCAGGTCCACTCTCTCTTCGAACACTTGTACCTCAACGGTCGGTGTTGGCACTGGGGTTCCCTTCGGATATATCGTGACAGCTGATGCGGGATTACCACTGGTGTTTCGTCCTCCTCGGAGTCGTCTTCCCCGGCTTCCTCCCGTTCGGCTCTACGTTCATTTCGTTCGGCGTGGCTCACCCTCCATGCCGTGAACAGGCGCCCTATCCATCCTATGTTCTTCTCTCGCTCCTCTGCCCGTGCCTTGGTCTTGTCGTTGTTTCGCACCCATATGAGTGTGTGTGTGTGTGTGTCAGCCTCCGGCTGTTTGCGGCGGGCGGCTTGCTGCTCGCTGCATGGCGAAAAACTCATATCGTCACACACCAAGGGCGTATGCTCTGGCGAGACGTGAGGCGCATGCGCCCAGGAGAGGAGGGGGCATGCGTAACGACACTGCTAGAGATGCCTTTCGGGGCCCAGAGACAAAACTTCTGATGCCATGCGTGACCTAGTAGTGTCCCCAGCTATGGGCGTGTCCACGTTGGAGCCAGGTGTGGTGTGGGCGCGAGAATAGCTCCGCCGTTCATGGAGGCAACCGATGCGAGTCGACTGGTGTGTGTCGTCGTGGTTTCGTATCAAGAATACTCCACTCACGCACCCATATCTGTATGGCAATCGAAGCTGCCTTCCCCACTACCTGTAGTTCCCTCGTCACCCTCTCCTGCAAGCCCCCCTCTCTTTCTTTCGGGTATGGACTCTGTCAGTGCTGGCAGCGTGCAGGCAATCACGGGCGCTATTTTGTCGTACTCCTCTTCGACGAGCGCTCCTTGGGGAGGGTTGACATCGTGATTTCCGCGGAAAATTTCTTTTTCTGCTGTGAAAATTCCAGCGTGAAGAGAGGGGAAACGACGGGAGGGCCTAGACCTACCCTACCTACCCCGTCATGAGGCCCGCCCAGAAAGAAAGAAAGAAAACAGACAACCCAAGGGAGGGATGGGAGGACGGCACGCCGCCACCACACAGGGATTTTAAGGAGAGGTGTGTGGTGCGCTATCCGTCGCCCACCCTAGGGAGTCTGCCTCTTCCTATCTCTCTTCGCAGTCTCTCGCCGATTCTCGCTGCAACCTTCATGCCACCTCGCGGTCGTCCCACCCTCGTCGAACTCTCCCTTGTCACTTCCTCCTCTGTCGCGTTGTTGTCTTCTGCCTCGTCCTGCGACGCCGCCGCCTGCCGGTCCCTTGTTCTCGCGGCTTCTTTCGCCTTTCGGCGCAACTCCGTCCTCCTCGCGGCGTATCCTGGCCCCTCGAGTCTATCGAGCTCCCCTCGCGCAAGGACACATTTCTGACTCCCACTCCGATCATTTGCCTACAGGTCATGTTGTTGCTCAGGTCCACTCTCTCTTCGAACACTCGTGCCTCTACGGATGATGCCGGCGCTGGGGTCCCCTTCGGATGCATCGTGACATCTGACAACTGGATTTCCACTGGTTCGTCCTCCTCGGAGTCATCTTCCCCGTCCTCCTTCCGCTCGGCTCTTCGCTCGGTACGTTCGGTGTGGCTCACCCTCCATGCCGTGAACAGGCGCTTTATCCACCCTATATTCTTCTCTCGTTCCTCTGCCCGTGCCCTGGTCTTGTCGTTGTTTCGCACCCATGTCTGTATGGCAATCGAGGCTGCCTTCCCCACTACCTGTAGTTCACTCGTCACCTCTCCCGCGAGCTCCCTTCTCTTTCTTTCGGGTATGGACTCTGTCAGTGCTGGCAGCGTGCAGGCAATCACGGGCGCTATTTTGTCGTATTCCTCTTCGGCGAGCGCTCCAAATCTAGACCCTTTCGCCTTTAAGGAGGCTGCCCTCGCTCGTCTCAGGAATGTGGCGGTGTCTTTTGAGTCCGGCGCCTCCCGTTCAACTCTTGCTGTCGCCCTCGCTGTGTGTTTGTCGAGCTTCCGCATGAAGTGACGCGCCTCTTCCTTATTTCCAGCGCAGCTGCCGCTCAGTATGTGCGCCAACGATGCCTATGGTGGCTCACTGTCTTCTTGTTTCCAGTCGTCCCAGTCTCCCAGTTCCCCGCGTCTCCTCCTTGCCTCGCGCGCCTCTTTTGTGGCCTCATCCCTAGCCGCCTTGCACGCTCTGCATCCCCAGAACGCACTTCTCGTGGCGGGGCCCCTCATCCCCCGTTTCTTTTCCCCCTCTAGAATACGCCTGTGGTGTGCCCCGTGTGGCACCCCGACCTGTTGTCTCACCCTGGCCCCCAAGATCGTTTTGGTCGTCACATTGTGATCCCCGACGTCGTCAAATGTCGCCCGCCTGTCCTTCCCCCCGTTCTCGTCCGGTAATCTCATCTTATTATCCCATCGATGCTTGAGGCTGGCTACTGCCACTTCGCTCCACAACCGTCCCGCCACCCCTGCCGTGTGCGATCCTGGCCTCACTGTCTTTCGATATTGCTCGCACACCCACTCGTGCGCGCTCTTACACATGTGTCCGTACAAGCAAAAATACTAGGCACGGAATTTTCTTCTATTTGCCGCGTGAATTTTGCGCCTCTCGACGCCGCTCGCCCGGGGCGTAGTCGGTGTATTCGCCCGCTCGCGTAGCGGGAGGCATTCCGGTGAGAGTCGAACTCGCGATATCGGGCCGGGTGGCGGAGGCACCGCCGACCCATGTCATCGCCTGCTAAGCGCCCGCTGAGCCGACAGCTCCAACAACGGCGCGTCCCCTCGCCACGCATCGCGCCTCCTCCTCCTCCGCCAGTGGCGGCGGCGGCTCCAGCACCTCTCGATCGGTTCCACTTTCTCCGTGGGTTGAACAATCAGAACGAAGTGATCAAGGCGTGTATGCCGTTGACCGACGAGCAGCTAAAGGCGATCGAGCAGGCCCGCTCGCCGAGTGCCATCGCCGAGGACGCGCAAGGCGGGCGTATCAACCTGCTGCTGGCAGCCGCCGCGTCGGGCAAGACGACGACGATGCTCGCGCTGATCGAGGTGCTGCATGCGCTCGGCCACGGCTCACGGGGCGGCACCTACACGCTCTACGCCGTGTTCAACGCGAACGCGAGGGGTGACGCCGACAAGAGGATGCACAAGCTGTCGGCAGGTGCGAAAAGGTCGGTGGACTGTCGCACTACGCACTCGGCGGCTCAACACTGCACCCCGGAGCTGAAGAACAACATCCAGTTCCCCAAAAACTCGGCGCGCCGCGAGTGGCGCTGTCCGGAGATGGGGGGCGGAGCGATCGAGAAGTACGTCCGGCGAGTCTGCGGTGACGAGATCCGCGAGCACGTCATGAGCGGGAGCTCGCCGCCGAGCACCGACAAACAGCGGCAGCGCGACGAGGAGCTCTGCGCGTTTTGGATTTACAAGACGTGGCTCAACTGGGTGCAGAAGGTGCCCGAGTACGGCGGGCGGCAGTACGGCCGATGGCGTGTCTTCACACTTGTGGGCTTGAATAGGCGGGCTGCCTCGGGGCCCTCGCCCCGGCCAACATCGACGCCTCCACCCGGATCGGCAAGCTGACCTACTACCCGTGCGTCAAGAACTGGACCGGCGAGGGCGGTGAGGAGGGGCGGCGGAGGCAGCGGCTGCCGGGCTGCTTCCCGGGCACCTTCTACACGGCGTGCGCCGTCAAGCTGTGGCACGCGATGATGGCGGAGCGGCTCTTTGTGACGCACGACGCCTACCTCAAGTACGCGCAGCTGTCGAAGCACCCCTTCGGCTGGTTCGACGCGCTCCTCCTCGACGAGAGCCAGGACCTGACCGAGTGCCAGGTGGAGCTCCTCGTCGTGAACCAGCCTCAGGCAGACATCTTCGTGGTGGGCGACGCGGTGCAGTCGCTCTACTCTTGGCGCGGCGCGGCACCCAAGCAGCTGCGGCAGCTGCGGCAGCGCGTCGCGCCTCGCGCCGTCAAGGATGATCTGAGCATGACGCGCAGCTTCCGGTTCGGGCCCGGCATCGCGCGCATCGCCAACCACTTCCTCTTCCTCAAAAAGCACAGCCGGCAGCACAGCTTGTGGCACCACTACACGATCAGCGGCGCGGGGAAGCTGCCGGTCCTGTACGTCGGCGGCGAGCCGCTGAGCGGGCGGCGGACTGTCGTCGGCCGCTCCAACGCGGGCCTCCTGTGCGAGGCCTTCGCGCTGCTGTCGGCCGACCCGACGGTCAAGGTTGCGCTGCTCGGCCCCAAAGACACCACCTACGAGAGGTTCGAGGGGATCTGCGACGATGTGCTCGTGCTGCAGCCGCACTTCAAGGCGGAGGACGGCTTCTCCTTCAGGGGCGCGCAGTACGACTCGTGGGAGGACTTTGAGCAGGAGGTCGAGGACCGAGAGATGCCGTACGGGCCTCACCTCTCTCTGCTGCGCAAGTTTGCCAGCGGCGGCGACGAAGGCGGCGGCGGCGGCGGCGGAGGCGGAGGCGGCGGCGGAGGAGGCGGCGGCGGCGGCGGCGGCGGGTCTAGCGGCGATGGTGGAGGCCAATTGGCGGAGTTGGTTGACCTGTTTCGGGAGCACGTGTTGCGCCGGCGGCTGGCGGAGGACGAGTGCGAGGTGCTGCTCACGACGGCGTGCGGTGCAAAGGGCCTGGAGTGGGACAATGTCAAGGTGCAGCCGAGATTCATCCGAGATCGAGGCCGGTATCATCCGAGATCCAGCCCCGCCAGCCGCGTTGCAATCCCGCGCAGGTGCTCGATGACTACGCCAAGCTAATGACCTTCGAGCGCGTGCCGGAGGAGGAGCTGCAGCAGGGCGGCGAATACGCGTCCATCCAGGCGGAAGGCGCGTCGCCACATCGTGGCGCGCCGATGCGTTTCTGCTTGCCCGGGGACTGGAAGGGTCTAGAATCGCAGAAACGTCAGCGCAGCTGGAGCTGCCGTCTCTTGATCTGTCTAGCTGTGAGCAGGCGACGAGCTCAACTCGTGGTACGTCGCCGTGACGCGGGCGCGGCAGCGCCTGCAGCTGCCCAGCCGGTTCTGGGCGTTGCATGACGCCGTGTGGGGCGGTGGAGACTTCCGCCCGGACCCATCCGAGGAGAGCGCGCCTCAGTACACCGCGGAGGAGGTCGAGGGCATCAATGCGCTCCTCGCCAAGATGCGTGGCGCGCTCCCACCAGCCGGCGCCGAGATGGAGGACGAGCTCAGCCAGGGCAGCAGCGTGGCGACGGCCGCCCCCTCCGCCCACGGCACCCCCTCCTCGTTGCCCTCCTGCTCCGCCGTCTCGCCAGCAGGCTCGGCGCTTCGAGGCCTCGCGCTTGGTACGCCCGACGCAGCACCATCGGCCCTCCGCCGAGAGGATTACGAGCCCGCCGACGGCCACGACGCGGAGGGCGAGGCTGCTCTCGACGAGTTGCTCAACGAAGGAGCGCCGTCGCCGCCGACAGCCCGCACGCTCCGCTTTTCGGACGGATAGTGATTGTGCCAGACTGGAGAGATAGTTGACTGTACTTTTGTGTGACGTGTCAGTAAGCGTATCGGTGAATCGTCTAATTTTGTTTTCGCGCTCCGCCTCTCGTGACTCGTCGCCGCGCTCCGGGGTGCGAGAGGTGTATACAGCAAAGCTTCAGCCGGAACCCGGTTTTTCCCGCGGGCGCCTGGCGCGTGGGCTGGGGCTCTCACGCCCCGCGAGATCGCCACCTCTCTCACTCTCTCGCTCGGCTCTCACGGCTCTCGCGGTCTTCATGTGTGTTTCCGTGTACCGCACAGGGCTCGGGGGGGGGGGGGGGGGCTCTTCTTCTCTTTCAGTGTGGATCTTACGAACATTCCCGGAGGAGGAAGAGTGCTGACAGGGTTTGCGATTAGGAGCGACCCCGAAGGGTTTCTCGGGGTTAGTACACCACTATTAAGCTGTGGGAGGGGTCCCGTACCATGCGGAATCGGCCCTATCAAGTGCTCAAGTGCTCAAGCTGTGAAAATGGCAGTTGCGCGCGACATTACGAATCGTGCGTCCCTTGCTCCGACATGATCCATTCGAGGCTGCCAACCCCTCTCCTCCAGCTTGCTCCCGTTCTAGCGGGCTTCCTCCTTGGGGTCGGCGCTCTTTCTTGGCTGGCCGTGGCTGGGCGGATGTGGGGGGCCGACTCCACGCTCGCGGAGAGCTTAGTGTCAGCGGAGAAGGGGTGGGAGGACCGGCTGCTCGTACCGGTGGAGAAGGGGTGGGAGTGGTGGGACACCGTGCTTGCCGCGGCCGACCAGGTGGAGGCCTCAGCGGCGCTGCCCTCCTTGCCTCGCCCTCCTCCCTGCTGCCTGATCCTCTCATCTCCGCTTCATCGCCTAACTCGCATTGCCGCCCCTCCCCAGGTCCACGACATCGGCCAGGGGATGGGGCTTTGTCGCGGGCATAATGACTCGTGCCACGTGTGGGACTGCTGCCTCGAGACAGGCGAGGACGACCCCTTGGGACAACGCAAACTCTGGTGCAATCCCTTTGGGGGCGGCGAGCAGGAAATGTTAGTCGGCTCGGTGGGAAAGGTGCATGCTCGCACATAACAGGCCGACTGGCCCCGCACCGCTCCCTCTCCATTGATGTCGGACCGCCCTAGGCGCGTTGCCGCGTCTGCGATGCGGTTGAGGGCGAGATTGGCAAGGACACCATCACCACAGTCAATAGCAGCGGCACTTTTACGACGGTGGTGCAGTGCGATGTCAGCAAGAGGAGCGCGCGCGGTAAGGACGGCGCCGCCGAGCTGATGGCAAGCGTGGCGACCTTGGGGGAGGCGGCGACGGCGGTTGGGCCTCAGCCAGCGATCACTTCAGGGCTCCAGCACTGCAAATAGGCGAAACAGGGCGCGGTGGCGGGCTCCATAGCGCAGACAGGGGCGAGCCCGATTATCAGCAGCTTCACCGCCGCGGCCGCCTCCCCGGCTCCGGTCGACGAGGAACTGGTGTCAGCCCTGCTGGCGCTGCAGTACGAGGGGAAGCCCATCTTCGCGGCAGCTGATGCGACGGCGGTCGCGACGGCATTGGGTAAGGACGGCGGTACGTTCGCTGACCTGATGGACCCCGACATGATCGAGGACGACGATCTGGTGGATTATGTGCCCTTGAAGATGCAGCACAACAAGATACTCAAGCTCCGGAGCCCGCCCCCCCCCGCACCCCCCCTCGAGGCAGCAACAATGCTACGCTAGGGGACAGCAACGCGCAGGCATGCGTCGGGGTGTGTCGACTGCCGTGTGTCGCCGTGTGCTGCGCGCGTTTCGTTCTTTCGAGTCACACAGGTCGGCGTCCCGGACCCACCGTATCTCCATCTCGCGCGGTCTGAGTTTGACTGTTGTAGGAACCCTTCCTACTTTAAACCCGTGTGTGTGTCTTATTCGTTATTGCCAAAGCAATATTGTATTCAAGACGGCGATTGCCTTTTATTGGGGGGCAGAGAGGTCCCATGGGTAGCAGGACCTCGCACTCTGACAGTCTCTGACAACTGTGCAACCCACCAGCACCACACCACACGCACACTGAGAAGAGAGTTTTTTCCCTTTCTTGCTGGTCATGAAGGTCTCGCACGGGCGCGCTTGCTACTCACGCCGCCTCCGCCGACGCTCGTCGCTCGCCTCCGCTTGCCGGCTCGAGTCGCGGCTTGGGGCACTGGCGGTGCGGCAAGCGCCTCCCCGTGCGCCTTTTCAAAGGTGTTGTAGTGGACCTGTTCACAGCTGAAGGCGTGAACCTGGCGCTGTTTACGCTTGCCGCGCGTCGGTCTGCGCGCCGGCGACACGTACGCCAAAAACGCCTACAATGGTGGGTCAGTTACGTGTGTGTATGTGTGCGAGAGAGAGAGAGAGAGGGAGAGAGGGGGGGGGGGGGGGAGGGAGGGAGGGAGAGGGAGGGAGGGTGAGGGTGAGGGAGAGAGAGAGAGGGAGAGGGAGAGGGAGGGGGGGGGGGGACGGTGCGGAGGCCTGCTTGTCCATCTTTTGCTCCGAGGGCGTGTAGACGAGGTAGGGGTTGAACTCGGTCGAGGTCACCACGTGCAATGACGCGCCGAGCGCCTGGGCCGCGGATTGCACCGCTCGACGAGCCCGACCTCGCGAGGCAGCGCCGTGCCTCGCTTCTGCCGACCACGGACTCTCTCTCGCGCGATCTCGCGCGATCTCGCGCGATCTCGGGCGATCTCGGCGAGCGCCTCGCTGGCAGCGCGCAGCGTGAGCTCGTCGCCCCACGTGCGGTTGCGCTGCATCCGGCGCAGGTAGGCTCCAAAGTCGTCGCAGAAGCCTAGGCGGGTCGCAAAGAGGTGAGTGGGCTCACGCCAGGGCGGCTCGCTCCCCGGCCCGCAGAGCGTTGCACAGATGGAGGAGGCCCGTGCTCGACCACGGGCGGGTGCTACATCTCGGCTACGTCTCGCCGGAGAAGTCCTCCGCATGGGACCTGAGGTGCTCGACAGCGGCGCGGCGCACGAACGCGTGGTGCTCCTCAGTCCCGTATAGCGAGCGGGATATGGACCTGAATTGGCAATTACCGTCGCCAGCAATACGCAGCATCTGCATGCCGTACAGTCTGAGCCGCTGCCGCAGCCGCTCTGCCGCGCCGGGCGGCCGTCTCGCATGCCGCCGGCTGCTCGCTCGCCGCTCGGCCGCCCGGAAAGCCCAGCGCTTGAGCACCCAGATGGCACGGAATGCGCGCGCAAAGACTATCAGCCGTAAGGGCGGGCCGTCCACAGATAGGGCCGCGACGGTGGCGGCGTCGGCGGTGTGGTCGGCAGGTTGGGGATGATCGCTGCTGGATGGAGAGGTACACGAGAGCTGCATGCGCGCTTCTGCTCGTCCGCCGATGTTCTCGAGGTTCTCGAGGTGGATATCCTTTGGCCGCGTTGGGTAGCGAGGATTGGTGTAACCCGAGCCACGGAGGCGTGTTCTGGCGGCCCTATGTGCACTTGATTTTGGATACCCACTAGCATACCTTGCGCGCACGCGCGCGAAATTTGTTTTTCTGTCTGCAACAACAGCCCGAGGGGTGAAATGTCTTTGTTGTCTCTGTAACGAAGGGCCCGCCGCTCCGCCTACGCCGGCGATGACCCACACACCGCTCACCCAGACGCGCACTGGGCCTTGCACTTTGAATGCCGTGGGGCTCCTGTCGTCAGACGTGGAGACGCGAGGGTTGCCCCCCCTTGCCCCACCACCTCGTGTGTGTGGAGAAGTTTACCTTACCTTACCTTACCTTATGACCCTCTCGGCAGAGCGACATCGCGACACGCGAGCACCGGGCAGAGAAGGGGACGCAGAAGCGGTTGGATGGAGAGGCAGCCGGCGCACGAGGAGAGGCAGCCGATGGAGCCGACGAGGTGAGTAGACACGAGTTTACCATTCTGCCCGGGGGTGGGGGGGGGGGGGGGTGATGGTGTGTGTGGCTTTTGCAGAGGCAGGGGCTGGCAGCTTTTTGGAGGGGGCGTTTGGCACTGCGAACCCTCCTCGCCCGTACTGCTTTTCGAGATAGGAGAAGAAGTCTTTGCGATTCTTGTTGGATGGGACGGGCAAAATAAAAAGAGCGGCGCCTCTTCGAGTCTCAGCGCATCCCCGCGCCGCAGGAATCGCACGGACCAAACAGGTGCTCCAGCGATGCGGACTCGTGTCACCCTTGAGCTAGTCCTTCCCCGGTCGCCTAGCCCCTAGCCTCTCTGCGCTGTCTGGCCTGAGGGAGGGTGTAGAGGATGTAGAGTGTAGAGCGCTGTAGAGCTGTAGAGATGTAGAGCGCTGTTAAAAAACAACTTTTTTTAACGTACACACCGCCATCACACACAAAATCAAAGCAGAAAAAAAAACAGCGCTGAGAGGGGTTGTCTTTTATCACTGCCGGATCTCATATGCCTGGCGTATCCAGCCAGGAATGGACTCGGCTTGGCGAAACGCCTCTCCCGGATAGCCCCTCGGAAAGAGCATCGATCTGCGCGGCGCTATTGCACATCGCCGCCGGATCCACTCCGTGACATTGGGAACATGCATTCCAAACGCACCTCGGCCATGGTCGCTGAGGTCCCCGCTCCATCCCACAAACTCGATGCACTTCACGTGAAGGTTGATGAGGGCGGTATCTTGGCAATCAAGCCGAACTTTGCACGCCTGGGGAGACGGTGCTCTAAAAACGGTCTACTACTGGGCAGCGCGGACGACGCGGCTGAGGGTCAGCTTACCTCGTAAGGAGGTTCGGCGATGTTGTGCTGTCCGAATGTAAATCTCACAGGCTTCGCCACGAGCGCCGGCTTGTCGAGCAAGCAGTTGTACCTATAGTATCATATTGTTGCGTAAGAACCGCAAGTGGAGAAGCCGGCGCCGAGCAGGCGTCGTGCCGCATCAGGGTTCTCTGCTCCAGCAGCGGTCGGTCCCATGCCAGAGTCATCTCCGCACTCTCGTCAAATAGCACCTGGTAGGTGAGGGGGCAAGGGTCGCCTCACGCTCCTTTGGAGCAATGCAAGAGCAAACCACCAGGAGACGGACTAGAGCGGTGCCGACCTCTACGCCAATCGGAGCAACGACGGTGGCACCCCGTGCGTCGAGGGACTTGGCGTAAGCTGGCAAGCTTACACCGCGCGCAAAGAAGTGCTCGTCCAGGTCGGCCTGTGAACAGGCTTGTGGACATGGCGCAACCGAGGGGCCACGGATATTGGGCTGCGCTGGGAATCAGTGAGGTCCGGGGTGAGGAGCGCGCCCAGAGAACGTAGCTGTATGAGGAGAGGAGCCGGGCCATATGCCTCTGCGCAAGATATGTTCGCCAGGTCTCGCCGAAGGGGTGCGGCTCAACCGTCTGCACGTGAGTGACTCTCCATCGCAGCAGGCACTGCGTGGTGTGCTCAAACACCGGCATGTGAATCACGTGGATGTCGCTGACGGAGATGCCTGTGGCCGCGTGACACGATTGGGGAGGGGGAACTCGCGGGGCGTTGCTGGGTAGCAGTTGGCCGTCATCGGGTCATATACACGAGTATGGGGATTGAGAAAGAGATGTGGTCGCCACCGTGCCCGACGTAGTGGCGCATGAAGGCATTGCAGTGATGAGGGTGGTCGCGGGAGAGGAAGGTGATCACAGCGAGGGAGGCGTCGGCGGCGGAGGCAGCGGCGCCGTGACAGCTCGCGCCGCTGCTGACCGTGGCGTTGTCTGACATTTTACCGCGACCCAATAATTGCCGTCGAATTCCCGTTTCTTGGGTGGTTTTTGCTAAGGTGTAGATCAGGTTCCACAGCATCGTCCCACACGTAGCTCAGCGGTCAGGTGAAAAGGGGTTTTTGCTAACGGCCTCCCACACACGCCACCCACACCGGATATGTCTTGGGCATTTTTCGCACTTTTCTTTCTACGTCGGTCGGGGTCGCGTGGATCGATTTTCAAAGTGAATATAGACAATAGTACGGCATAGAAAAACTGCAAAACAAGATGCGTTAGCTCGCCGCGAAAGCAAACAGAGGAGGGCGAGGAGGAGTGATTAGCACGCGTCCTCTGCCACCGTGCGCGTGTTATGAGGTGGTGCGAGAGAGCCATTTGCGTGCGAGCCCGTGCCCCGTCCCGCCACCCGCCCGCCCCGGCCCCGGAGCGCGACAAAATGTGAAGGGTGGGCCACTTGTGTTGAGGGATGGCAACCCAGGTGGGTGTCCTCCGCCTCCAGCTCAGCCGCCGCATCGAGCTCCGCCTCATACGCGTGTGGCTGTGGGCGACGGAGCCGCCGCTGCGGCCTTCCGCCGTCGGGGCGACGGCGACGGCGGCAGCGGGCCGGGCGGCGGCGGCGACGGTGGCGGTGGTAAGGGCGGCAGCAGCGAATAAGGCGGCGGCGAGGGCGGCGGCGGCGGCGGAGGAGGCGGGCTCGGTGGGGGCGGCGACGGTGGAGGCGGCGGGGCGGCGGCGGTGAGGGTGGCGGCGGTGAGGGCTGCGGCGGTGAGGGCTGCGGCGGTGAGGGCTGCGGCGGCGAGGGCTGCGGCGGCAAGGGCGGCGGCGGCGGCGAGAGGGGGAGGCCACGACGGCGGCGGCGGGCTGCGCGGCGGCGGGCTGGGCGGCGGCGACGACGACGACGACGGCGGCGGCGGCGGCGGCGGGCTCGGTGAGGGCAGCGACGGTGGAGGCGGCGAGGGAAGCGGCGGGCGGCGAGGGCGGCGGCGGCAAGGACGGCGGCGGCGAGGGGGGAGGCGGTGACAGCGGCGGCGGGCTGGACGGCGGCGGCGACAGCGGCGGCGGCGGCGACGGCGATCTGCTTCTCCTCGCGGCCTCCGTCGATGGGATCCTGTCGGCAGCCGGGCGGCGGCCGGACGGTTCGGTGAGATGAGAGGCGCTGCCGAGCGCGGAGTGGGCGCGGGGGGTCCATCGGGGATGGCTGGCGGCCGGGGGCGCAGACCCACACCGTCATGCTCGGTGTCGGTGGGTCCCACGGATTGAGCGTGTAGGTGTGTGGTCGTGAGGCTCCCACACAGCGAGTCCCGGCTCCCACGTGTGGAACCTCCGTGTGGGAGGCGTGTGGAACCTTAGCAAAAACCCTCTAACTTTTCCGAGCTCTGACGCCGCGCGAATAGGGCCTTTAGGCCTAGAGCCCCCCCCCCCCCCTCCCCCCCCCCCCTCCCCCTCCCTCCCTTTTCTCCCATCAAGCTAAAAGGACATCCAAGATGAATCGGTGCCTCCCCCCCCCTCCCCCCCCCCCCCCAGGGGCGAGGCCCGAGCCAAGCTGCAGAAACGAGCTTTTAGTGGCTATAAGCATAGGCACTGAGATTATGGTGCGCGCGGAGCGCGCTGGTGCTACTCGGACATACGCGCGGAGCGCGCTAGCTAGACACACGCGCGGAGCGCGCCGGCTAGATAAAGCCGTACCGCGGAGCAAGCAAGCAAATCAACACAACCGTTCGAATGCTGACGCCGCAAGTCGTTGCCGCCGGTTGCCAAAGTCCGCCTGGATTGCTCAGCAGCACAAGCATCCACGGAGCCAGCGAGCGCCGAGCGACATTGCCTTGACAATCTTGACTGAGCCGGACCGCGACATGTCGGCGGGCAAACTTGTAAAATGGTTCCGATGGCCGAGGTAGCTCCGGCGGACGTGAGAGCACGGCCTGACGATCAAGCACGAGAGCGACGAACGGAGGCGCAGATAACTGGCGGTGAACTCACTGCTGATACCTGCTGGAGCTGCGGAAGATGCAGTGGTACTGCCGCAGACAGAGCACCGCGCGCTCCGGCGCGCCGCTGGAAAGCACGCGCGGAGCGCGCCGCTGGGTAGGCGCGGAGCGCTGCCACTTGAGACTGGGCCTGTGGGTCGCGGGTGGGCCGATTGGTTCCAGCGTGTGAGTCAAACTCTTAATAGAGATCGCAATCTAGCCCTCCACAACCCTCAAAATTTTCTTCGGGGCGCGCTCCGCGCGCGGCGCTCCGCGCCTCACTCCTTGAGCGTCATAGGCGCTGACCCGCACATGTTCTGCAGCTTGGGGCCCGAGACGCTCGGCGAGGGGCTGTGCAAACCTCTGTTGTGTTGAAGAGGCAACCTAAATGCTACTGTCTCTTGAATAAAGGTCCGAGACGTTGGAAGCCCCCGACGTCTGTTCGTTAGAGGAGTTATTGTGTTAGTTAGAAATGCCGTGTGCCCTGTGCGTGTGGCTGTGCGTGTGACTCGGGTTGCTGACAGACTGCGCCCAAACGCTGAACGTAATACAGGCTACACAGCACACATCTCACGCTCAATTCAAGCCTTCAAGCCTCATGTCGCCATTGCATCTCGAGACCGCGCTCGCTTCGAGCGACCCCGTGCACTCGCTCTCGCGCGCCGCGACTCATCCGGCCTGGTCAGGAGCAGCTCGGGCGGCATTGTCCACGAGTACTCCTTGGTCACCTACGTTCACCCGCCAGCGTGAACAGGCGTAAACCACGGCCCGCGCTGTGCTCGCCGCCAGTCTTGGCGCCCTCTGGCGCCAGTACGGCCGGTCGAGTCGTGCG